CAAGTTTATTATGGAAGTCAATGGAGGCACGAAGAAAATGCCTCACTGACCTGCTGTAGCTCTATCAATAGCTAAAAAGCGCTTGTTACATGAAAGAACAGCTGCCTCTAAGCTTTTCTGTCAAGGATTTGGTCAAATTTGCTCCAGAATTCTTAATACAGGTCTGTTTTTATGTCAGCCCGTTTGTTCTCCATTGAAAGTTGCCAACCAAAATGGCGGCCGAAATTTATTTCATCCTAAACCACGCCTTACAACTGTAAAAATTTCTAATAATCTTCTTACGCATTCAATTCTCACCTAGGGTGGTCTATAATAATGTAATAGACAAACATTAGAAATTGCAACGTCTAGTGCATGTACATGCTTACAGCTTTTAGTTCATTGTCTGAATATTCATTGAGTACATTACCATAATGCTCACAGCAGGATAGCTTCACACTTGATGAAGAAGTGTCCATTGAAGCAAAAGTGGTACGTAAACGCACTTTCTTTAACTAAAATAAAAATACCACAATTTTAAAATATTCTATTTATTGGCAATCTAATACATTGGCAGTCATGAATATAATGAGTATAAATGATGTAAGAGAGAGTCTACTTGTAAGAATGAGTCTCCATAAGAGTAACAGCATCTCACACCTTGAGGATCTCCAACGATATTCAACACTCCATATTTAACCCTCTCAGCAGGTGGGCTATCGTGATAAATTCTATTAAATATGTTGTCCTACAAAATACATGCACATGTAAGTTTAAGTTGATAGGTTTTAGTTTTAGCCATTTATATAGAAAAACCCATAACTCAAAAACTATTTGTCAGAATCACTACTGTATAACATACATGTACATGTAGTGTATCAATATATCAGAAAATGTAATACAATTGTAGTGATAAAATTGGCTCATTTTTAAAATCGCTGTAACTCAAAAAATATTTGTCTAAAACATCTCGGACTTTCTACATAGCATAAGTACCAGACATGGGGTCCAGCACTAGGAAATGTGCTTAAACACAAACACAAGCACTTAAATGTGTTAGAAGTACTAGCACAAGCACAATCTATAGCTTTAACATAAGTGCTTAAGTACAAGAACAAGCATTTTTCAGAGTGTTTAATTACATTAATAAGTACTAGATATTCAATTAGTGTAAAAATAAAGTAAAATTACAATTATAGTTAATTTACTATATGAATTGTTCATAATAAATGGAAACAGCAGGGAGCTTTGGAGTGATACCACTAATGGTGATGCCATTACCATTCTTCAAGCTAACACACAATCACACAATGTGCTACGAAACTTGTATACTACATGTACATGTACATGTAGTGGTAGATGTACATGTAGATGTACATGCACACGTACATGTAGTGGTACATGTACATGACATCAACATATAGATTTACATGTAGATGTACCATGTAGATGTAGATGTACATGTACATGTACACTATTCGTGTGTAATTTTTGCTATGATTAAAAGCACTTTTGTAAATTTGTAAAAGTAATTAAGTACAAGTACAAAGTACATAGATTACCGTAGGTCGGGTTATATTGAAAAGGTACTTGTAAGCAGCACTAAGTACTTTGAAAGCTGTGCTTATTTGTACTTAAGTACAAGCACCAAGTGCTTGACCCCATGCCTGATAAGTACATCAATGTGTATCAGAAAATGTC